TTWWTTTTKSYTTTTWWTWWKKTTTTTYYTTWWKGKCAGTGCGAGGTACGTGTTACACTGCTGTAGTTACGTCTTTCTTTTTCTTACCTTTTTTWATCTCATCTTGTTTTATCTTGTAGTCTGGGTTGCTCAGTAATAGCAATTTATGACCTTGTTCTCAWAAGAACTTGTCTAACAGAGATCCACCTAACAAAAATCCTTCTACAGTTCTTCATCATCTGCAGCCCAGTTGAAAAGTTGGAAGGGAAGGAGGTTCTGGATCATGTTGTTTTTTTCCCTTTTCCTGGTTCTTGCTGTTTCTGCTGTCGGTGATATTGTGGCTCTGCCCCATGGATGTCACTGTCAAGGTCCTTGCAGGGCACAAAAGGCTCTTCCTGTGTCCCCTCAGGTGATGGCCATTGCCACGCTGGCTGCCTGCTACAACAACAAGCAGGTGTTCAAAGGGGTGGTGAAGATCCGCAAGGGACAGGCTGTCACCCTCATGATGGATGCCACCAACATCCAAGCTGTCAAAGCCATCATGTACCAGTATGTGGAAGAGGTAGGCTCAGCACTTTGCTTTGAGTCATTTCTGGCTGTTCCTGTCCCTGGTTTTGGGGTGGAATTGGGAACACACAGGACTCTGTTAATTCTATCTTACACTTTTTGGTTCAGTGATAATGACCCTGATGGGGTTTTGGCCTGGATCAAACTGTGCCTGATGTGTTTCCTTGAATGTACCCTTGGTCTGTGCCTGTGTTGAGAAGCAGAAAGGGGGGTCAGCGACATCCCAGTGTGTCCCAGTGCCTGTCCCCCCGCCTTGACCCAATCCTGGGGTCTGTTCTGTGCCACTCACAACAAGAGAGACACTGAGGGGCTGGAGCATGTCCAGGGAAGGGAGMRRAACTGGGAAAGGGTCTGGAGCACCAGGAGCAGCTGAAGGAGCTKGGRGTGCTCAGCCTGGAGAAAAGGAGTCTCAGTAGTGACCTTATGACTTCCTCCTGACTTCAGGGTCCTGTGAAGGTTAAAATTTCACGTGGAGAATCAACTGGTGCATGGTTTCATGGGAAAAAAACACCTCACTCCCCAAAACTCAATTCCAGTGAGGGCTATTGAATAAAAAGGCTTCACTCTTGCAGCAGAGAGACCCCAAACCATGGGTTGTTCAAGCTGCCCTTGTGAGCTGGCAGATCCCATGGCAAGGGACAGTGACAAAGAGGGTCTCTGCTTKTGCCTGCCATGCTCAGACTCCTTCAGATGGGTGTTTCAGAGGCCTGATGAGATGAAACCCCCGAATTTTATCTGAGATGAAAACCCCAAATACCACAGAATGAGGGGATGGTGTGGCTGTTTCCAGGCAGGAATGTTCCCACTGGTTTGAGGTGGGCTGTACAGGGAGTGAGGACTGTGGGGTGAGAGGAACTGGTCCCAGTAATGCCACTGGTCACAGTTACACCGCTGGGGGTTGAGGGATGGTGTGTGAGGCCCTGTGGTCAGTGTCCCATCATGGGCTGCCCTCAAGAGGCAGCTTGGCTCAGTGCACTTCCCAAGAGAGATGGGCCCTGCACCCACCCAGGTGTCCCCTCCTTCATGGCACTCCACCCCCAAGCTCACTCCTGAGAGTACAAGTGACSCTTAAAACTTCAACCCGGTCCCATTTGCCTCCTGAAAACCATAACTCCTCCTTCTCCAGATCTACCAGAAGATCCCAAGCACGGACCCCTCGTCCAACAAGACGCAGCAGGTGATCGCCTCCATCCGCGCCATGAGCCTGCCCGGCAGCCCCATGGCCTCCCGCCACCACTACTCGCCCATCTACGTGTCCTGTGCCATGCTCCTGGCGGCCCTGAGCTGGCAGTACCTCAGCACCCTGTCCAAGGCCACCGAGGAGTACGTGCAGGCTGGAGACAACTGAAGGGCAGTGGCCGGGTGGGGGGACAAGCGGTGGCAGATGGGCAGCGGGGGCGGGTGGCACCTCGTCCCCTGCTGTGGGGGTGGCCCAGCACCGGGATGGTGACAAGGATGGGACACCGGGGGAGCTGCAGCCCCAGGGTGACAGCGTGGCACTGCTGGACTCCATCCTCACCACCCTTGCTGTCTGCTGATTGGAGTCTTCGTGTTTGGGGTTGAGTATTTCTTTTTGCCCCCTTCTTTCTTGTTTACCTGAATATTTTCGGGACTTTTTTTTTTTTTTCCTATTAGGATGGTTTGAAATAGAAACTGCAGTTGTTTCTTTTCCTACTTGAGATTTGAGGCATTTTCCTAGCTCAAAGCTGAGCAAAACCCTGAGGGTTTTGCTTCCCTGTCTTAGGCAGCCTCTTCTCCCTCACCTCCGGTGCTTGCTCCGTGCTGGGGGAATTCTGCTTAAGCTGGGAGAAGAATGTGCTTCCTTATCCAAGGAAAAAGCTCTGGCCACCTTCTGGCCCTGGGTGATTGCCATCCTGCAGCCTGGGAGCAGGCAGAGGCCATAGCCACGTTTCTGTTGTGCTGAAGGATGCTGAAATGAGCCCTTTTGATGTTAAATACGTGGGAGGTGAGGTGCTCTCCCCCCTTAACTGTGCCCCCAGCTGAAAGGTGGCTGTGCAGCTCCCTGCCCTGGCACAGATGGCCCTGCCCTGCCCTGGCAGAGCTGGTTTCAGCAGTGGGGAGCTGGTTAAAAGGAGAGGGGAGCTGCCAGCACTGCCCTGAACTCATCACCCCAGACCTGCCTGCGCTGCACTGTCTGGGTTTGGCTCTCCCACAGCCCCAGGGGATGTGGCAGAGCAAGGGTTTGCAGAGGTTCCCACCTTCCCTTGTGGGATGCTTTTTTAGGGAGGCATCTGCTATGTGAAAGGCAGGAGGGATCCCTGCCAGGAGCTGGGAAGGCTGGAGCCACCGAGGGGGGGACCAGGGCAGGTTTCCCTGGCCCACTTGGCTCTGGCTTTGGGTCAGAGCAGTGTGTGAGCTGGAAGAGGCTCCCACTGCTGTCCTGAAATACATCAAGCTGGACTTGCAAGGAGAAATAAAGGCAAGTCCTGTTCTCCTGGGGTGGCCTGTTGTTTCCAAGGTCCCTACCCACCCCCTCAAATGCTGCTTTGCTGTCCTGAAGGGAACARAGCTGCCTGGTGCAGGCTGGAGGCCTTTGTAAGGCCAGGCTGCTCCTCAGAAGGAAAACCCYTACTCCACAGTTCCTGGTGTAGTTTTAAGCTGTTGTTCTAAAGAAACTCGCGGTAGCTCTTTGTGCAGCTTTCCGTCTTGTTGAAATTAAAAGTTTTCTTTGGGAAAAAAAAAAAAGTCTTGATTCTTTCACACCAGGGATTCTCCACAAGCTACAAGCCCTTAGCTCATGAAATTCCGATGCTCCCTCGGTTCCAGCTCTGGGTATCAGAGTACAGCCCCGTGTGCCAGACATGRAGAAAGAATTTGTAGCAGGCTGACAGCTGAGGGTCTGTAAATTGAGCTTGAAAGGAGTGGTGGCACAGCCCTGGGCTGTAGGCACGTGCTCCAGGACGCTGGGGCATCTACAGGGATGCTGGGGACAAGTCCTGGCTGCTCTCTGCTCTGGGTGGAAGCGCCTTCCCCATCACCAGGACAAACCCCAAGGGGTGGCTGTCACCAGTAGGGCCACAGGACAGGGCTGGCAGAGGCCACACCCACACAGAGCTGCCTCCAACTCTGGGATCCAACAGCAGAAGGATGTGAAGGTGCTGCAGTCAGTCCAGAGGAGGTCACGGAGATGCTCCAAGGGTGGAGCCAGGCTGGGAGAGCTGGGAAGAAAAGGCTTCAGGGACAGCTCAGAGCCCCTTCCAGTGCCTGAAGGGGCTCCAGGAGAGCTGGAGAAGGACTGGGGACAAGGGATGGAGGGATGGGACACAGGGAATGGCTTCAAACTGACAAAGGGCACGGTTAGATGGGATATTGGGAAGGAATTGTTCCCGGTGAGGGTGGKGAWGCCCTGGCACAGGKTGCCCAGAGAAGCTGTGGCTGCCCCTGGATCCCTGGAAGTGTCCAAGGCCAGGCTGGACAGAGCTTAGAACATCCTGGGATAGGGGAAGGTGTCCCTGCCCATGGAATGGGGTRGAACAGGATGATCTTTAAGGTCCCTTGCAGCCCAACCCCTTCTCTGAAGACACAAGGGTCTCACCAGGCTTCCACACCCRACAAATCACCTGAGGTGGTGGAAGCCAAGCAGAAGCAACCACGGGCCAGGAGGCAAGACACTGGAGAAATCATTTATTGGCACAGGTGTTCCAGCCAAACACAGCACAGCTCTGCCTCCCCGCTGTGGGAGCAAGCAGAGGTAGGGGGGCTATTTTACAGTGCATGGAGAGCCTGCTTCTCACGTTCCAGACCCGCAGCCTCAGCTCAGTAACGCCTTTTGTGCTTTAAAATTAAAAAAAAAAAAAAGCTCTTTGCTATATTAGTGTTGGCAAATCACGATTCCTCCTATACACAACCTGTTACACCTCCCCCCAGTAACAAAAATAAGTTTTTTTAACCTTTGTTAACGCCTGTGGCTTAAGAAAAAAAAAGCTCAAACTGTGTGCCAGCTAATGAGACACCTCCAAGCATCTGCTGGAGCTCCCTGCAGCAGATTTGGGAACCATCCCTCAGCATTCAGCCCCAAAGCACCCCAAAACACCCAAAATTTGGGTGCAGCACCCTTGCCCTGCACACACCAAGCTGCTCAGCCATAGAAGACAAAGGCTTTGCTCTTCCCAGCTCCTTCYCAGGTTTTTGCAGGATATTTGATCAGAGGCTCACAGAGCTCCAGCCAGGCCATTCCCCAGCACCAATAACCCCAGAGTATAGCAGATAAAGCCAGTGAAAGCTGAGGAAGAAGTGGTTTGAAAAGCCAGAAGGATGGAGCAGAGCAGGCAATGCCYGAGGGACTCGGTGCAGGCAGCTCCRGCCAGAGCCACCCCYACATCAAGTTCATCAGTGGTTTTGTCATTAACAMGTCTAATTTAGCCAATTCAAGGCACACACTCGCAGGAAATGCTTCCTTCCCTGCTTGTTTCAGGTGCAGACAGTCAGCTCAACCCATCTGTGGGGGAACAAATTCCCCTGGCCATGGCTTTCCAGCAGCATCCTGCACTTCTGCTGCCCCACCAAGTCCCTAATCCCAGCACAAAGCTGCTGTTCCCTGCCCTTCTAAGGGCAAACTGGGCTGGAAGGGGTCCAGGCTAAGCAAATTCCAGGAGGGCAGCGAGCTCTCCAGCAGTCCTCTGAGCAGGGAATGCCCCAATGTCCTGATGTGACCCACCAGGAGGAGCAGGAGGTTGGCAGAGAGCAGTTCCACCTCCAGCTCCACCATATGATTAAAAAAAAAACAAAAAAAAACCAAAAAAACCAAAAATTTTTTAAAAACCCAAAACAACAAAAATGGAAAAAAAAAAGATAAAAAGCTTTAATAAAGTAACCTGAACTATAGTCTCTTTTAGAAGGGGGGTCTCTGCACCCAACCCACTATCAGTTAAAAGCATCAGGGACTCAGGATTATTTGTGGTTTGATCATTTGTGGTTAGAACTTCTTCCAGTACTGCTCTGTCCTGGGGATGCCAGCCACAACCTCGGACTCAATGCCACAGTGATCATCTCCTCGCAGGATTTTGAAGAAACCTGGGAGCAAAAAAAAAAACAAAAAAACCACAAAATCACCCTCTCCATCCTGCATCCCTCCAAGGGGAAGGGGATGGGGATTYCTAAAAATTCCTCACCGTTCTCCCCCCAGTCGGTGTTCCAGGAGTTGGCCACCAGCCAGTAGGGAGTGTCATTCTCCACGCCCCAGCCCAGGATCCGGATGGCGTGGCCTCCCACCTGCTCCCCAGACACGTGCTGGTAGACCCCTGCAAGGAAAAAAGTGTGATAAACACACATTATTCTGTTATYTGCAAAAGCTATTACAGCCTGATAAATATATAACATTGGCTTTTGCAAATATTAAAGTAAATGCTACGCACGGTGCGTTATAAAGGTGATTTTGCAAAAATTGTTTTGCAGATGTAGTTAATGTATTTGACGAACTAGATATTGACTTTTGCTAAGGATGATACTGGCTTTTTGCTAATATTAATTATATTAATAATAACATTATTATTTYAATACTAATGTTGATTAAGAGTTGTTGCAATAATTAGGATGTTGAAACCTGTTGGATGTATTAAGAARTAACAGATGACCAACACAAGAATAACTGCACCTAGCCACAAATATGAGTGTGCAGCAGCCCTTAAAATGTGCAAACTAATGTGAAAAAAATATTTGAATATATATAATTGCTTATGGTTATGTAA